AAAGCTGTGTGTCCTTAGATTGCAAGAATGCGAGAAGCGACATGTTGAGAATACTGGGTGAGGGCTTGGCTCTGAAGGGTACTCTTTTGAAACGATATTCGATTATGTTTTCTCGCGTTGGAGAATTGTCAGGGTTTTTGATTATTTGTATAGAGGCAGCCTCTATGTCGCAATTCATGCCAATTTTGCCTTCCTACCGGCAATGAGGATGTCATGAATTTTGCCAACCAGCGATTCTCTTTTGAGGGTAACGTCATTCAGCGATAGATGTCCTTTTCGCTTAGAAGATGCGTCGAAAACGATGCGAAGTGGTTTGGGCTTGTGTTTCCCGCCACACTCCTGAATGAGGCATGTAGTAAAGTCCGACAGAATCAGGGACGAGTCCAGATACCCTTTCAATTATGTCGTCCTTTTCGTACTGTTTCAAAATTTTGCAGTACCACTCTTTTTGCAAGGGGTTGCTGTCAAGCTGACGATGCAAGCTTATAAGCCTTCGAACTGCGGAAGGGTAGTTGTCGGTTAAGTCGCAAACATTATCTTTAAGTGGGAATGGTGCTACAACATAACCGTTCTCGAAGGAAATTTGCTTCGAATATTTTTTGAAGTACGAAAGGAGCTCACTGTTCTCTGTGCTATTTTCACTTGAAATTCCCATACCCTCTAATTCGAAGAGCTTGTCAAGCATCGCGCTTTCAGATGCAACGTCCGCAGTAGCGGTCATGTTGTAAGAGACCATAGGCATTGCCACAGAAAGGTCTTGAGGATCAATCGATCCACGCCCATGAATTGATGGACCGAAAACTGTATTAGCCAAACGCAAGCCCGATGGTGTTATAATATTGTTGCTGTCTAGCATGAAATTGTAGTAATAATCCAGTCCAACTAGAATTCTCGGGAGTTGATGTTCACCTCGTAAAGTCGGGTTACATACAAGGATGTTTCTGTCTTCAAGGAACTGCTTATCGACTGCGCAGAGCCGGACACCTGGGAACCCCTTTGTCAAGACTGGCTTAGTTTGTATCAAGATTTCCATATCCTTACCATACGCAGTGCCTATTCTAACATTCACGATGTTACTTTCGAATATCTCTGTGCTGCCTCCGATTCCTGACATTATACAGGTTTCAGTTCTCATGTTGGGGAGTCCGAGGTTCTATAGCGAATTCCTTTTCGATTATAGTCTTTTGTGCGCCTGTATCGAAAAAGAAATGGCTTTCTCAAAGCTCTGAGAATTGTAGTTCCAGATTCGACCTTCTGCGGTCATAAGAACAATTTGCTCTTGGCTTCGATTGCTAGGAGCTTTTTCAATAGCGGCATGATTCTCCGTGTTTTCAGTCGCCAAGCTTTTTGCTGGCTGATGTTCTGATGAGAACTCATCCAATTTGTCTTGTATCTCTTCAGTATTGATATGAAAATTGGTACGTAATACGGTGGTAATTGGTTGTTACTTCTTGGCTGTGGCAGTTTTAGCCTTCGATTTTAATTAGTGTTCCCATTTTGATGAGAGTTCTTGTCTTCGGCTGCTGCTTCTGTTCGTTGAGCAACTGGTCGCGCTTTGGACTTCTGTTTAGATTGATATGAGTTTGACGAATATTGGAGTTTGCATCACCTGCATTTTCTGTTGAAAAGCACAGTCTGATGTGGTGGAGTTTGCCGCATAGCATACAGTTCTCCCTCGTGCATTCTCTGCTGGAATGCTCACTCGAGTAGCACTTCCAGCACAGGCGTTTTTCAACTGCAATTTTTCGTCTTTCTGCTACAGTAATTGGGGATCTGCACTGCCAAGGAGAAGTGACCGCTCTTTTCACAGATCACGCCTCTTTCGTCTCTGGCATTTGTATTCTGTTGTTCTTTTCTTTTCTGTATGATAGGCTGCATTCGAAGACTGAATATATGATTTAGCTCTTATCTTCTGTTTCAATCATTTGCATGATGCTTTCTACTGTAGCATCTTCATTCTCTCTCATTTTGACAAGCACGGGCTCAACGATATTTTGGATGGAACTTACTCAGAATCAATTCGATCCACATTGCATCCGTTGTGGTTGTGGTGCGGATGTCTTGTCCTGCGGATACCATCTGATTAAGTAACATGGATATCCTGTCGTAAACAAACTCGTTGCTTTGTGCACTTTGGTCCGCTTGTCGGAGAGCGCGAACTTGCTGGACAATGCGGGACCTATTGGCGGGCTTGTTCCCATATTTCTTTTTTAATGCTTGTATCATCCAGTCATAATTTTGGGGCAGAAGTTGGATACCCTTGATCGCTTTGTCTGATCGTCGCGTAAACTGTCTTTCAGAAGCAACATTTTTGCGATGACTGACAGAGGGTTCGGTATGCTGCCCAAAATTCGGGAAACTTCTTCGTTGACGTAGAACTTTGGAAGATTTATTTTTGGTGGTGGTATTGGCGAGATTTCTTCTGGTCTATGCGCTTGGCTGTCCAACATGCTGCTTTCCTGGGAATTGGCATTTATGTTTCGAGGTCCGTGTAAGCGCTTTGTGCCCTAGGATACTTTCCCGAGTTTGCGAGCAAGTCTGTTTTCGTTGCTGGAGGCTTCTGTGAGTCGTGTTCTCAGCATATACGAAAGCTCCGTTGCTTCGCTTATCACGTCTGTGAGCTTCTGTTCGTTTTCAAGTTTCTCAAGCTCTTGGAGGATCATTTTCCTATCGTCTTTGTTTTTCGTAATGTCATAGTCAGCCTTCATTTTATATATGAGCGACTGCAACTTATCTCTTGCGCACTCAATTTGCTGTATGCTACCTCCGATCAGATCGACCGCGTTTAGTGACTCTTCATATTGGGTGTAGTCGTCTGACGAGTATTTCTGAGGCTGCGCGTATTCTTTGAAATTTGCGATCAGCGACTTTAGCGTTTCGACGCTTTTCAATATAGGCTTGCCATATATGATGGCTTCCATCGTTTCGACTCGATGGGGGCCTCAGCGGGCCGCTTTGAAATCAGAAGTTCTGATTTACTGGTCTAGAGACCAGATTTCTCTCGTGAATGTAACAGTATTTGGCCGATGCACCAAAACTGTTACGACGGTTCAGTGGCAAAGTTTATCTGCAGCATATCACCACAAGTGCGAGTCCTTATATACTATGTGACAGGTGTCATGGCACGTGTTCGAAACTAGCAAGTTCTTACATAGCATAAGATCAAGTAACTGGTCGCGAATATTCGCGACAAAACAAGAGAAAACAATTTGACGAGAAAGGGTGATGGAAACCATCTTATTGAGCACTGTTCTTGCTGTGACTTTTAGCATGCCTAGTTTATGAGGTGCTCCTTAACGAGCAGCGACGTATGGTGGAGT